CCCCCCCCCCCCCCCCCCCCCCAGCGCGGCAGGGGAGGGCACCGAGCCTGGCTGCAGGCCGCTCGCTCTCCCCGACTGGCTGGAGTGCCGGTGGGAGGGCGGCGAGCCCGCCGCGGCTCTGCTGGCGGCCGGAGCGCCGGGAGGAGGGTGGTGAGCCCGGCCGGGGCTCTGCTTTCCCCGGCGGCCAGAGCTCCGCGCTGCCCCCCTCCAGGTGCCGCTCCAAGCACAAGCTTGGTGGGCTGGTGCCTGGAGCCGACCCTGCCCTTGTTCGCGTGCTATGAGCTGGGCGGAGCAGAAGCTCCTGCGCTAGACCAACCAGTCGGGATCCCTGCAGCCCTCTCTCCTTCCTCTCCTAAGGCCACAATCCCGCGCTTTCCCTCGGAGAGCATCCAGGCCCCTGCTCCTTCTCTGAGCCCCTCCTGTTCCCCGCAGGAGACTGCACAGTTGCTCTGCAGTGTGGCATTATAATATTGTCTGTACGAAGCGGCCCAGGCTTTGAGCACAGCAATGCGCTGAGCAGAGGTCTGCACTGAGCTGTCCCCAGGCACAGCCAGGTCCCTTTCCCGAGCTGACAGTTAATTTGCACAGGCTGCCAGCTGCTCCAACCTATTCCCTTCTACCTTACCCCTCCATGGTGCACTATTTGGCATGGCAATGTTGAATTTCACCTGCCGTTGTGTGTTAGCCCCTCTACAGCTGCTCATCAGTGCTGCTCCTGCAGCCCCCAGCCCTACCACGGTGAGCTGGCTCGTGCCCTGTTACCTGGGACAGCCTGGTGGTAGAGCTGGGCAGCAGGGGCCGGCTGAACTTCTTCTGGGACCCGATGGCTGCGGGGAATGGGGGAGCAGAGAACATGGCTGCCACCACGTTGATGCGTGTGATCCAGGAGTGCATCTGTTCTGTATTCCTGTGGGGAAATGCCAAAGCACTGAGCCATGGGCCCAAAGCTGCATCCTCCCTACCCGCCCCCCTCCAGGGATGGTGCCCTGGGAACAGAGGAAGTGCCCTACTGGAACAGGCCCAATGGGCCTCCTAGGCCAGAATCTGCCCATGGACCATGGTAATGGCAGATGGTGCATCTAACCCCAGCTAGCAGCTGGCTACTATCGATGCGTGAGCGCTGGCCAAATGGCAGGGGCGCTCCCTACAGTGCGGTGGTGAGGGGAGGCATGGCAAAGGAGTGCTGGCTCTCCTCACTTCGCCCTTTCTTCCAGGAGAAGCAGTCGCAGGACTGAAAAACGTAATGCTGCCCACAGGCCCACTCCCAGCCCTGGGGGTGGTGCTAGATGGGTAACGCTTCCCCAGTGCGATGTTCGTAGCTGGCGCCCCTCAGCACTATCTGCCTGGCCTGTGCAGCCAGGAGCTCCCACGTTGGCCCGGGTTACTCACTGGGCCTGGAACAGGAAGACCCGCCACTCGGCTGTCCTGAGGTAGAAGACGTTCGGTCTCTTGCTGTAGTCGGATGCTCGCGTAGCTAGTGCGTGGTGGATGCTGATAGCGTTCTTCAGCTCCTCCTCTGCCAGGGGCTTCCCGGGCTTATATTCCTCCTGCAAGGCCAGGCTCCGGTTACAAATGAGTCCTGCTCCTCACAGCCTGTCTGGGCGCCACATCTCTAGCAGGATGGGGGGAACTATAGTGGCCCTTGCCACTCCTCCTAGGAGCTCACCAGTACCAGGTGCAACAGTGCTAAGGCATCAGGGCTGCTCCCAGGGTTCACATTTGGTGCATACCAACCCGCCATGAGCTGGCTGTGTCCGCGTGTTCCCCTGGGGGAGGACTGCATGTATGATTGGCCTATCGGAGGCCATTCCTTATGCTGCTAGCCCAATGGGGGGGCACTGCTGCTGCAAGCAAACGCTGCAGTCTCAGGCAGGAGGCCAGCTTGGAGGCTGGCATGTCACTCCTCCACCAGGACCCTGCCGTAACACAGTCCTACTCTGCAAGGGCCATAGCTCTAACACCTGCCTTGGGGAAGCAGCACTGCTGCCTTGGCCAGGGATGGCTCACCCTGCCCTGGGCCAAAGGCTCATGGCTAGTGCCTGGTGTCATGGTGCTTAAATGGATGCCACGCTCTAGACAGCAGCAAGGATCCCTCCACCTGATCTGTCTAGCACTGCAGCAGGGTCCCACAACCCACCAGGGTAGCGGGGGCAGGGGCAGAAGTCCAGATTGGCTTCCTGGGATTCAGCTGCCTGGCCTGAGTTCAAGCCCTGCCCTGGGGTCGCCAGGTGGGCTGCGGTCTCGCTGCACCGTACCTTCTGCAGATAGAGGATCATTCCCTTCAGGATGGCGTGGAAAGTCTTCCAGCCTCTCTTTCCTCTGGGGGCTGGCAAGGAAGAGAGAAGCAGAGTCAGTGGAAAGTCAATGCCAAGCATGATGTGGCACAGCGTGCTCTGCCAGCATGCACGTCAGCCCACCCAGGGGATGGGTAGCTCTCCAGCGGCACTCACTCCCCAGCACACCTGAGCTGTGCCCTCTGTGAGGGTCAGCAGCTGGCACTGCTGTGGGGGGAGGGTCCTGCGTGCTGCCCCCTGGGGCCAGAGGCTGCTGCCAGGCAGCCAGGGTACGGTTCAGTGCTCTCCTTGCTGTGTTTAACCGCGGTGCTAGCCTCTCAGAGGAAGCAGAGGCAGACAGCATTTCCTGCCAGGCACAGCTACGCCCAGCAGCAGATGCAGAAAATACGGCCAGCTTCTAATCAGATCAAGGAGGCATCAACAGGCCTGGGATTAGGAAGGATTTGGCAGTGGGAAGGGAGCATGTTCTGCGGCTTCCAGCCAACTGAATCTCTCTGGATAGCTCTGTCACTGCAGAACTGGGTGGCTCCCTTTGCTGCACCCCCCCATCCCCGAGCTAGATTTAATTATCATTGCAACAAGAGAGCAGCCTGCGCCCAGTCTGAACCCAGAGTGGGGGCTCAGGCTGCTTCCTCCCTCACCCCCTAGGGGTCCAGGCTGATTAGCACCTTGGAAAGAGGCACAGGGGGAGAGCTGAGCTATTCACTAATGTCCCCAGCTCTCTTCCCTACCCCCGCCTCCTTCCGCACACAGCTAAGGCAGGGTGGGGGAAGGGTCTCTCCTGCAACCGGCCATGCACCTAGCTGCCTTTCCCCCCACCCCAGGGTGGCGATGATGTTGGCGTGCAGCGCACTAATGCTATCTCCCAATAGAAGAGAGCCATGCAGCCCCAGCTCCCCTGCAGGTCAGGCCCTCAGGTCTGCTCCTCCCAGCACAGGTACCACAGCTGCTCTTGCTGAATGTGGGGTTACCTCCGCTGCTGCTTTAATCTCTGTGGGGGTTCCCGCTGCGGGTGGCTGGGGTGTGCTCAGCTGAGAAGCTGGAAGTGCAGGGACAAAAATGAATACCAAATGGAGTCCTAACTAGCTGAAAGGCCCCTGTCCCCTGGGAGCACGGCACATGGGCGTGGGCATGTGCAGGAGCTGCAGACAATGGTGCTGCGGGAAGCAGAGATTTGGAGGGCCTGGCTTGTGTGTTTGAACATTCAGCTGTAATTTTACATGAACGTAGCTTTTTAAATGGATCCACTAAATGATGGGAGGGGAATGAAGAGGGGTCAGGGCGTGAGCTGGTTCTGAGACAGGCCTTGTCCCAACCGAAGCCCCCTTGCCACTGTATCACTCATCCCACTGTAACCCTAGTGACTGCAAGGGAGTGGCTCCCCATTGAGAACTGGTTCTGCCCATAGCACACCCCAGCCCTGCCCCCAGACACCTACTCTTCTTGCAGTCGGAGTCCGCATGGCTCTTGCGCACCAGCAGGCCGTACTTGTAGGTGGCAATGCTGGGGTCCTGCGAGAAGTCCAGGAAGGGGTTACTGCAGCTGCTGATGCGTTTGATGGATTTGGGGTTGGGGTCGGCCAGCTCAGAGAGGGACTTCCTCAGCTCTTCCTCATCACTGTGGGCACAGATGTTGCAGAGGTTAGTGGCATCAAGGCTGGCCAACACGCCACCCAGCACTCTAGCCATGCCATGCCAAATGGGGTGGGAGGGGGAGGTCATTCAAATCACCTCAGGAGAGACACCAACAGCCCCCTCCATGCCCCAGGCCCCTTCACTGCTCTATCAGGCTGGTGGCTCTTGCACCACGTCTCTCCCAGGTTGGGGGCTCGGTTAGGCCAGTCTCGAGCTGGGCATGGGAGCCCGCCGGCCCCTTGGCAGCCAGTGCTCAACTTTGGCTAAAACAGGAAAACTTGCTGGCAACGGGGCCAGGCTGGGGCCTGCTAGGCTGGGGCCTGCTGCGCAGGGAAGGGCCAGTGCCCTGGCACTGCAGGAGGCCATCTTGGCCTGTGGTGACTGGCTCATGTCCCCCTCTGATAGCAAGGAGGGGACAGAGCCCCGGAGAGAAACTGCAGCCCTGGCTCTGACACCTTCAGGGGAGCAGGGGGCAACACAAAGCCCTGGCCCACTGTGGGCTTGGTTGAGGAGGCATTGGGTCCCCAAAGGGATGAGCGCCCAGTTAGGAACCTAGCCACAGGCATGGGGAGGGGCAGTGGGACATCATGAGCCAGCCTTGCAGATCCCTTCAGCCCCGTGGGCTGAGGCGTGGGGGAGAGGGGTAGGAAGGGGAGTGCATGTGCGGGCGGGAGGCGGGCATGCTGCATGCGGGAGGCAGCCGACAGCCAGCTGGCAAGGGAGGTGGGCCCTTGTTCACATGCTCGCAGGCTGTGAATCATGCTCCCTGCTGGGCTCTGGACTCATTGGTGTCGCTCTCCCAATGCAAAGATGTGGGAGCCCAGCTCTGCCACCTCCCCTCTTCCTCACAAACACAGCGCTGCTAATTAAACCCCTCAGCAGCTGCTGGCCGTCTCCATGACAGCTGCGTCGGCTCAAAGCCGGGATTATGTGAGCTCCCAGAGACGCGGCTGCTGCCGGTTATGGGGATGGCAGCTGTGGGCGAGGGGCATGGCCCCTCCATTGAACTGGCTGCCTGGGCAGTAGGACCCTACCCTGAGCCCCTCCCAGCCGTGGGGAAGGGGGCCATCTCCCTTTCACAGCCATGGCTCCTTGCCCCTCCCCCAATTCTATAGCCCCAGCCCGCTCCCGGCCCATTCCCCTGGTGCTCCCTGCTCTGCTCTGGTTCTTCCCCACCCTGGCCTCTTCCAGGCACCAGGTAAGGGGCTGGGCCACAGCCAGGGCCAGGCCACAGGCAGACTGGGCAAGAGGTGGCCTTGGGAACTGGCTCTGCCCAGAAGCCCCCCTCCCCTTCCCGCAGACCACCCCAAGGCCTTAGGACCAGGCCAGTTCTGCATGTGCAAGGCCCCCACTCGGCTGCACAGACCCCACACAAGCTGGCAGCTCTGCAAATCTCGCTCCCTAGTCTACCCCTCAGCTACATTATGCAGACTTGGCCAGGGCTACTCCCCCATTTAGCCTAGATGAGCCTCTTTCCCCCGTTATGCCCAAGCAGACCCTCAATGGCTCTCATCTTATATAGGCCTTGTCCCTCCTAGCCTGGTCCAACAGTCTGGGCTACTCTCAGCCATGAGCGACCCAGTGTAGATCTGGGCGGGGGAGGGGGGAATCCCACTGCCCCCCAACACATGGTCAGCTCACAATCTGCCTAGCCTACCTCCCAGCTACACTGGTGGATGGGCGGGGCTATTCCACCACCCTGGTTAAAGCTGTGTGAATCCTGCCTCAGCTACTCCCCCACGCTGCTGCCTGCAGAGATCCTACTCCACCCCTCAGGCCTGCCCAGATCCTGCCCAGGTTATTTCCCTCTTTGGGGCCTTCCTGGGTCTCCTCAGTCCCTGAGCTAGTCCTCCCAGCTGTTAGCTGAGCCTAGTCTGACTTGCTTTGCTATACAGCTTCCAGCTGGGTGAAAAGCTGGGACCCTTCCTATCCCCGTTTTGAACAGCCCAAATCCAGTCTATGTTCAATTCCCCCCATTGCTTTTTGCTGCCCTATTGGGCCCCTCTGTACATCACTCCTGTTCCCGGGCAGCGAGCTCTCCAGCACACGCAGCAGCTGTGCTCTTCCTCACCTAGGCTGGAGACAGAGCCTGGAGAGAGCATGCAGAATCTTCTCATGGACTTCGCTGGGCTCTGGCCCCTCTTGGAGGCAATCTGCCCTCCAGGTCACACTTGCCATCTCCCCTCCCCCCCACCCCCAGCTGGCCTGGCCTGCAGGGAGAGGTGGGGATGGTTTGGATCCTATGAGCAAAGCTATGAGGCAAGAAACTAGCATCTGAAGGATTCATCTGACGGGGGCCGTGTGTCCGCGCTGCATGGAGCTCTGGGGCCAGAGCCCCCGCAAGCCCCATCTAGCCAGTGAGAGGCTGGCCCATGGCTGGGGCGCTACTCACATGGCCCACTGCAACTTCTCATTCTTGATGGAGCTGTACAGAGCCTGGGGAGACAAGAGAACAACGGTCAGCGGGGCCAATGCTTGCCACGCTACCCTGAGTGGGGCTCGTCGCTCCCTCCCCACTGCCACCTACAGGGGTGGGGCAGTCGAGGGTAGGTGTGGGTGCCTCCCTGAGGCCAGAAGGGGGACAGGTGAGGATGAGGGAGTTGTGTGTTTTCTTCACAAGCCAAAACAGCTGCACTGCCCTCCTGAATGTGCGAGACAGGGCAGTGCCCGTGGCATGCTGGGACTGGCCGATGGGAAGTGGGGAGCTGGGGTGGGAAGCTCCCTGCCTGGAACCGGGGGTGTGTGTGTAAGGAGGGATGGGTGGCTCTGAGGCTCAGGCCAGAAGCAGGGCTGTGAATGAGGGAGTGCTGGAGAGGCCCTGGGCATCTCTGTGAAAGTTGGGGACCAGCAAAGAGACAACCGGGGCCAGGCCAAGCGAGGAGTGGGCAGAAATCCCATCCAGCAGCAAGGGTGAGCTGTGGAAGGCCAGGCAAAGGAAGACAGCTGCCATTGGACAAGCACAGGGTGCAAACAGAACAGGAAAGCTGGGGACAGCCTGCACCCCAGCACCTCCCTCTGGACAGCAGGGAAAACTGTACATTAAACAAATCCAGCAGCCGCAAGGAAGAGAGGCGAAAACAGCAGTGAGCTGAGGTTCTGTAATGCCTTCTCCGCACCGCAGGGTGTTCTAATAAAGGGGTTACACACAGGGGCTTGTAGGCAACATGGGATTGGGAGTAAACAAAATCTCTGGGGAAAATGCAGCTAGTGAAGCCGCCTGAATCCCTCTAGGAAGGGGCCTGGCAAAGAGCTGGGGGGCGGCGGATGGAAAGAAGAGGTACATGCAGCAGGCTCAGAAGCAGGGGGAAGCTACAGTGCACTACAGGGATGGATCATGCACACTGGCCACACCTCCTTTTTGTAAGCCACACCCACTGCTTGGCCCCTCACCAGAGTGGGGTGTGCTGCTGCTGCATCCCTAGTGCTCCGTGAGCAGTAACAGAGTCACACACACACACACACACGAGTTTCAGGGGAACAAGTACCTTCTCCTTGGCTGCACCGCCCACGTTACTGCTAGGGTAGCATCTACCGATTAGGCCTGGGTGCCATGCCAGATTTTGCCACTGACTCACTGTGTAGCCATGGACAGCTCTCTTCCCCTGCACATCCCCATCTGTACCATGGTGCACTGACCTACTTGGGAGGGTGGCGGTGAGGTCTAATTAATGTTTTGCAAGCGCTTTGAAGATGAAAACCACTACAGATGTGCCAAGGCCGACTCCACTGGGCTTTCCCTCCTCCTTGTGGCTTGTGTTCTTCTGAAAACTCGCTGGCCCAGATGTTCAAAGTTCGGGGCTCACATTCGCATGCACGTTCCTGGGCAGACCTATGCGAGTAGCCGTATGGGACATTGATATCGTGGCAGCACCCCGAGGCCCCAATCTGGACTGCAACCCCTGTTGCGCTAGGCACTGTACAAACAGAAAAGATCCAATCCCTGCCCTGCAGGCACTATGGCCAACCCCAGTCCTGAGCCAGGCCTCCCTAAATACCCAGCTTGGGCACTCATATATGCACATGGCCAGGGCAGTGCACACCGCCCGCATGCACCATAGCAAGGGAGACCCTTTGGAGCCTCTTTGGGGCAGGGACTGTCTCTCTGTTCTGTGCTTTAACACACAGCACAATGGGGTCCTGGGCTGTGATGGGGGTTCCTGGGTGCTACTGCAATGCAAATTATGACTCTCATGACAGTCAGGGCAACAAAGGCTCCTCCTGGCCTTGAAGGTCCTGTACCTTTTCTGGTACAGGAACCCACAGATTTTGGGCTGTGCAGTAATGCCTACTTGGGCTGTGACAGCCTCCCAACTCCTGCCTTGAGTCTGGCAGGGCCTCAGCAGGACTTCAGGAGCTCACCAAGTTGTGGCAGGCCTGGGGGAAGAGACAACTCACCCCCACTCCCTGAGTCAGCCGTGAATCAATGCCCCTGAACGGTGTTGGGGAAGGCACGGTGATGCTGTTGTTCAGATGTGCATGTGAAAGATCCCAGTGCATTTTCTACGCAGTATGGATGTGAATGTTGGGGCCAAATTCCAGTCTGGGTAGCTAACATTCTACCTCTCTAAACTTCACTTCTGGCCCCAACTCTTTGGGAGCATTGCCAATGAAGAATGCGTGCTAGTGTCTGCATTTCACTGGGAAAGACACACTTCATACACAGAGAGATTCATTTATACAGGGCCAAAGCCTCAAGTCCTCCTTCAGCTTTTACTCAGGTACAAGCCCCCCGATTCAGCCAGCATCTGGACTATGTAAAATCTGAGTATGGATTTCAGAGTTTGGGCTACTGGTTGGGATCCTTGGGGCTGAACAGCTCTATAGAAAAGTATGTAATTGTCCTACCAGCCCATCTTCACACAGCCTGAACATCAGACACCATTAAGCCAGCCATTTATAATGTGGAAGGAGAACAGTGCCTCTTTCTGACAGAGCTGCACTACCATGGGAAGGTACCTGGAATACTTGTCTGGGACTCCGTCCCCATTGGCATCCTTGCAGGCCCAGGACAAAGCCAGCCCTGCCCAAGCAAGGTGCACTGAGCTCACAGAAGTTCATCTAGGAAGGCCCAGGCTTGAAGTCCATTATTTACTGACCAATGGATTTGCTGGTGAAAGCAATGGAGGTTTGATTTTTTTGGAGGAGGTAAGAAGCCACCTCCATCGCACCTCTGAGTGAAGCTCTATGTAGACAGAGACTTGAACCCAGCCTCAGTAGGAAATGCATTCCCCGAGAAGAGACTAGGATCATGTTCATATGGACCTGGGCCCAACCATCCTCAGTGCTCTAGAAAAGTTCAGATCTGGTCACACCCTTTGCAGCTCTGGCTCATGCCTATTATCAAGTGATTGAGAAGCTGAGGTACACTAAGCAGCCATCTGCTGGAATTTCGGTAGCAAGACAACTAAAGGAGTGCAAGATACAGAGCCAGACTCAAGGACGAGAATCCAGTCATGGAGGGGCAGGGAGAAGCAGACCTAGCTCTCGAAGGAGAGGAGCTGATGGCAATGACTCTGCCATAGGTAAGGAGGGGAAAGGCACCTCACCCAGTGTTGCAGCATTGAGTTGAGAGATGCTAAAAACCCTGGAGAGAAACAACAAAAAGATTTGGAAAAAGCACAAAAAGGAGACCAGGAGTACAGCAGGTGCCTGCAAAGCTCCATACAAGGTGTAGGGAATTGTAGCATGGGCCAGAAAGGTGCACTGAGAGAGAGTGGAATACGAATTCAGGTGGTTGATGGCAGAGCAGTGCTGAGCGATTGCATGTGCCTCAAGTGATGGAGGAAGTGAGATACGTATCAACTACCCAGGAAGTGTTCTGGGTAAATTCATCCAGCTGGAGATTTGAAATGTCTTGGAGATGACTGGGGATATTCTGACCACAGCCCTCTAAAGGGCTGATGAGAGGACTTCTGCTCCAGGAGAAGCAGCAGAGCAACAGCTGTGCCCTGAAAACTCAGAACAAGATGGACATCTGCACAGCTCTGGAGAACAGCCCAGCAGAGCTGAATTTTGCAACAGTCGGGGCTCCAGGACAGTCTGTGAACACTTTAAAGGACTAACAGCTTTGTGAATTCAGAAGGAACGGCTCTGTTACATACACTGCATGCATCACAAGGAGCTGCTGAGCAGGAGTAAGTGCATGATAGGGGAGGCGTGGCAGCATGGTGAACTGGGCTGGAGAAGACCAGGAGCTCTGCAAGTAGAGAGGATGGAAAGGCATACAGCATTGCCGTCCCATGCAATTAGGGACATTAACAAACAGGAGTGCTTGGGACACCAGGACAGGAATATAGAGTTTTTCACTTCCACTGAAATCCTGCCATTGCTAGAATAAAAGCTGCCCCCAGCTGACAGCTGCCTGGTGTCCAGTAGGAAATGAATCTGGGGGTCTCAGTCCAACCCCAAAGATTTGTGGGGGACCACAACTGGTGTCCTGGTTTCCCTGCTCTCCTGGTGTGTCCTGCTGCCTGTCTGTACAATCTTTCAAGCAAGGAGTTGGGAAAGGCTGAGTCCATTGCTGGGGCTTCAAGAATCACTCCTAACTCCCCTTGTTGGCTGCCTTAGCAGAGGACAGGAGACTGAACTCCCAGCCCATGCCTGGAGGGGAGAGGGGGGCAGTCCTTTCAGGGACGAGATGGCAGGGACAAAACTTGCCTTGCTGCTATCCAGGCTGTACCTGTTCTGGGGATAGACTGAGGGCTCCAGTCCAGCTCTAAACTCCTCCACAAAAGGAAGTTTTTGGTAGTGCTGGCCCTTTAACAGGTTGGGGGCCTCAAGGTTCTTGCCTCCTGGCAGGTGCTATTAATCAGAGCCGAGGCTGAATTCTGCTTTGCTTTGCTTTGTGTCCTGGATGGAAGGGGAGTGTGTGATAAGAGGGAGAGAGGACAAGCTGCTGTGCGTATAAACAGGGCACTGCTGGTTATCGGCTCACATTCATCTTCGCCCTGCCCCTGCAGTGATGGATAAATCCGTGCCCTGTGGCCACAGGGAGTTGTGGCATTGGTATAGGGTATGAGCTCACTGCAGCAGCAGGCAGAGGGGGAACGTGTGCTGGGAGGGGGACAGCTCTTACCCTGACACACATACACATGCAGGGAGAGAATCTGGCTGTCTCCACCCCCCCCCCCGCCTCCGTTTCTTCCTATTGCTATCACTGGCCCACAACTGTGGGAAGATTTTCTGCTGCAAGTGCCCTAGAGTAAATCCATCCATGCACAGGAACAGAGAGTTCCTGCACAGCTCTCTCAGCCACAGATTTCAGCACGCTTCACATTTTACAGACAGGGAACTGGTCCCACCACAGGGTGCAGGCAGAGAGGGGCACTTAAACCAGGGCTTCAATCCCTCCACCAGACACTTGGCTACTGCATGAATCAATGCAGCTGAAAGAGAGAATTAACCCCTTCCCGGGCCTAGGAGATTGGTTACACAGG